GGGCTCCGAGGCGAGCTGAGGCGAGACAGCCGCGCGCAGGCGCCAGGCGGCGTTACGCGGCAGCGCTCTGGGACCGCCCGCTGCGGGCGTCGGGGGGGTACGCTAGAGGGAGGTACGCTTCCTGGGAGGGCTTTCGGGTGTGAGGTCCTTCTGATGACGATGAAGCTTTCAGGTGTGAGGTCCCTCTGATGATGATGCAGGACCGTGTTTATGTATTCTTAGGATAAGTGTTTCTTGAGGTAGATGGACACAGAGTGGCACGCTGGAAGGGTAAGTTGAGGTGGACGAAGAAGGCAAGCATTGGGAGCCCAGCATGTCAAACACCTCTCCTGTCGCTACAAGCCCTGCAGCGGCAAACAGTGGCAAAAACTTGGCAAACAGATTTAACAGTGACTCACGCACTTAGTGCCTAAAGAAGATGGAAGCACACAAGGAGCTTATAGAAATTTTTAAGATGTCTTCTTTAGCTTTTTCTTTGTGCTTTATGTATATTCTTACCTTATAGAAGGGGAGAATGATCTCAGAATATTTAATTTCAGAAATTCACGTTCTTGCTATATCTGTTTGCTGGGTGTGGGGGAGGAATCTACGATGAAAGCATACTCCACAGCGGTATTCCTTCAGACAGCAAGAATGGAAACGCACTGCTATTCACTTCCAGTATGACAACAATCTGACAACCCCATAGAGAGATCTTATTTAACAGCTGGGTGGGCAGCCTAATTCCCATCACTACTAACAATGCACTTTATTAACTTTTGTAACTCTGCTCCTACTTTATAATCCAAAATTGCATCTTTCACTTGGACGGTGCAAAAATAGACATGCTGCCACAAAACAGGCCACATTGGAAAGATGGTTCCAGACAGAATGCTGGCAGCAGAGAAATTATGCAGCATCATCTCAGCCCTGACACGGAGTATAAATATCCCATTATGTATATCTGACATGAGTCTGCCCTGTGTGTGATGTTGTCATACTGTTGCCTGATATTCAGTTGCAATAGAGGCCATTTAAGTTCAGACAGCAGGGAAGAACATTACCATGTAGACACTGAAATAAACTGTCATAGGAACCTGCAGACTCTGAACTCACATCTGTGATATGGCACAGTTAAGAGTTGAACATGCCTTAAGTGAGGCTAGACCAGGTTATGGACAAGGCTCTTTCCAGATCCATTTCCTGTAATGAGGAAATGTCAGAGGAGACAAACGTGCTAGAAAATGGGACATGTTGGAGCTTAGGGATATTGCAGAGACTTATAATAGTAAGGTGATGCCTTCTAGCATTTCCATGTTTTTGCAGCTCATAGAATAAAAAGAATCTCTGTAGTCACCTAATTGAAATATGTCAATTATGCTGAAAGCAGAGATGCCAGATCCTTTTCATTCAAGCCATATTCTGACACACTTGGCAACGTGACATCTGGCAAGTTTCTCCAACTACCCCTTAATTCAATTCAGTTACTGTCACCTCTAAATTAATTTCCTGGATTCCACAAATTAGGAGCATATAAGGACATGTGACACGCTACCAACACCTTTTGCTAAAAGCTTTGCAAAGATATTACAGGCACCACTGAGAAGCCACGTCTATCTAAAGGCTTGCTGCTGTACTGGTACCACCAGCATGTGTGTTCAGACTGGCTTTCCTGGGCTGCCCTAGCATCAGAAGCAAGGGAAGCAGCAGACACTAGCACAGAATTCTTTCCAAGCTAATAAACCATGCAAACAATCAGAAAGTTAAATATGTGAAGTTACGCCGTAATCTGCATGTTTTAAGTGGGTCATGATTTTGTTTTCTTCACGTTACCTCCTTTGACATCCAGAGTAATTACAAGTTTTTCAGTTTATTTTTGCACTCTTCTGTTGAAGTTTGTAATAAGGAAGAGCAACAAAGTTGCTACACACAGTATACATACAAAAGCAACAAATACATTTCACAGAATCACAGAATCACAGAATGGTAGGGGCTGGAAGGGACCTCTGTGGGTCATCTAGTCCAACCCTCCTGCCGAAGTAGGGTCACCTACAGCAGGCTGTAGAGGACCTTGTCCAGGCGGGTCTTGAATATCTCCAGAGAAG